CTCTCTCTCTCTCTCTCTCTCTCTCTCTCTCTCTCTCTCTCTCTCTCTCTCTCTCTCTCTCTCATCCACTCCCTGTCATAATGAGTCTTTACTTCATGTCCTGAATCAACGGGACATGGACAAGGTAGAAGTCCGGCAGTCCCTACTGCTACCGTCAGCCAAAAACACCAAGGCATGGCACACAATATACGCTCAGTTGAAGATCCATCTCACTCAACATTTCCCAACCTCATACCTCAAAAACACTAACATCGAAGAGACTCTGGACAAACTAGAGAACTTCATTCACTGGTTTTTCGACCAGAAACCACCACCACCTCCACCAAAACACAAGAATGCAAATAAAAACCGTGCAGTGGAAAAACTCCGGGCTCACAGGCGTGATTTAAAGCGCAATTTCGTAAGATCAAAAACCCGGACGAAGTACCTGCAGCGCTCAGAAATGAGTATTTTTCAATTGGAAAACAAATCAAGCGTCTTTTGAAACAACAAAAGATGTACGACGATCGATCCCGGAACAAGAGGGACCAGGATGCCTTTCTCAAGGACCCATATGCCTTCGGAAAGAAATTGTTTCAACCAACCAACCATGTCAAACCCACTTTCTCTGACACTACCTGCTTTGAGTACTTCCAACACACATATGCAGACCAGGATCGTGCCACTTCGTACGAATCCTGCCCCAGTGCAGGGAAGCCCCGGGATTGCACCCACCCAGTCGATGAGGGGACCCCTACATGGACTGAATTTCAGAATGTTTTGAAGAAGTGTCGCAACACCTCTGCACCGGGTCCTGACAAGATACCTTACATAGTTTGGAAGCTTTGTCCCTCCCTTCAATCCATTCTTTTCACCATCTTTGGGCGGGTTTGGGAGAGCAAGATCATTCCAAGGCAGTGGCAGGTAGCGTGTATCACACTCCTGGCCAAGGGGGAGGTGTCTGATGATCCTTCGAAATTCCGACCGATTGCTCTAGCGAACACGTCCGGGAAGATCTTTTTCACCTTAGTTGCAAAGCGCCTCTTGAAACATATGCTAGGCAATAAGTTCTTCGATGGTGACAACCAGAAAGGATTTATGCCTGCAAAGGCTGGGTGCTTAGAGCATACATCACTTTGTTATGAGGCGATGCGTGATGCAAAGACGGCAAAACGCCAAATTTGCATTGCGTGGATAGATTTGAAGAATGCATTTGGTTCAGTGCGCCACAATCTGATACAGTATGCTCTAACCCACTACAGCCTTCCTTTGCAATTCAGGAAATTAATTTTTTCCTACTACGACAGTCTTTGCGCTTTCGTCGTACAACCACACACACCCACCTTTAATTACAACATTGGTGTTTTCCAGGGGTGCCCCTTGTCCCCGGTCCTTTTCAATATTTGTTTCCAGCTTCTGCTGGACTCACTTGCAGCCCCTGAATTAAGTTGCCTCTCCTATGATTTTAAATCTGCCCCTTTGCAAGTGTCCCAAACAGCTTTTGCTGATGACTTAGGCCTCTATAGCAAATCTAGTGCAGGTTGTCAAAAACTCATTGCGGTCACGGAGGACTTTCTCTCGTGGACCCAATGTATGCAGGCGGCGCCGCACAAATGCAAAAGCAGTGCAGCAAAGCTTGTAGATGGCCGGTACAAACCTTACGATCCCTGCCTGACAATGTCAGGGAGGAAGATCGCTTTCATTGACACTGCAGAGTTCAAGTTCCTGGGGCGAAGGCTGCATGCTGATTGCTCTGAGCAGACCCAGCGGGAAGACATCCGTCAACTCACTGTATCTCTCATGCAAAAAGTAGATGGCTCTTGGCTTCAAGACCACCACAAGCTATGGCTTTACCACCATCTTGTAGTGCCCAAGCTTTCTTGGTCTTTCCAGGTTCTTGAACTCACACAAGGTTTTGTACGTGAACTGCACTTTATGTGTTTACCATTTCTGAAGAAATGGTCAGGCCTACCTCGATGCGCAAACTCTGCCATTCTTTTTATTGGCAGTCGCAAACGCTTTGGCTTACGCCTCCACTACCTTCCTACGGTGTGGAAAAAGTGCCAGTCCATCAAATGGCACATTCTTCGATCGAGTGGGGACGCGCGCATGAGGGCGCTGTACACTCTGCGTCGGAGTAAGGATGCGAAGCTGACAAAGCGATATGCGGCGACAATAGAGCTGGAGTGTGCAGAGGCATCAGTAGGTTCAGGGACTCTCCGTCCACCGTCATCTTCAAGTCATCGTGCAGGGTTGGGTGCTCGTGCTCCGAAGCAGCATTCCAAACCCCCGAGGAAGGATCTCCTTCAAACATTTGAGGAGATCAACGCGCAGGAGCAGATTTTGAGGCTGAAGACTCTTCAGGTGCAAGGCAAGTGGTTGGAGTGGACATCAGTGATGTGGCAGGACCTCTCGTGGAAATCCCTTTTGTACGGTGGTACTGGTAAGGATTTGAAATTTCTTCTCGCATCAACCCTCGACGTGCTACCTTCTCCGACGAACCTACGCCGTTGGGGAAACACCGTAGTGGATCCGTACTGTAGTTTGTGCCGTACCTGGGCCTGTACTACGCGCCACGTGCTTGGCGCTTGTCGCGTAGCGCTGGACCAGGGACGTTACACCTGGAGGCACGACAACGTACTCGGGGTCATCGTCAGGAACATGCGTGAGGAGATTCGAATCCGCACTGCTGCAAACACCGTACAAACCGAAAATTCAAATGAGCTTGACTTCATCTCGTTTTGCAAGGCGGGAGAGAAGCCAGTTCGCGTTCAGCCCAGACGAAAGTTGGTTACGACTGATCTCCTGTCAGCGGCCTCAGACTGGAAACTTCTTGTCGACTCAGTTAGTGCAAAGATTTCTTTCCCTAGCTGTGTTGCACTTACCACCCTAAGACCAGATATAGTTCTGTACTCTACGAGTCGTAGGATTGTATTCTGGATGGAGTTGACAGTTTGTGCTGAGGACAGATTCAGTGTCAGTAACTCGCGGAAGGACAGGCGGTATGCGGATCTGGCCGATCAATGCCGAGCAAACGGGTGGCAGGTCGTTTCTTTTTCGGTTGAGGTAGGTGTGCGTGGTTTCATCCCGGACTCTCTTCGGAGGGCTCTGAAAGCGCTTGGATTTTCTAATCGAAGAATAAAATTTATTTGTAATTTGTGCAGTAAGACGTCTCTGCGAAGCAGCTACATCATCTGGTTGCGGCGTCAACAAAAACACTGGTCGGAAGATCCACTTTTCTGAGGTACTGTATGTGGGGCTCCGTTTATTGAGGTGCGTTGAAATTTATTCTCTTTATCTTATTATTTCTTTTCTATAATTTCCCCATATGAGTTCCTATCAGTTGCTGTGAACACCTTGAGTGGAGAGCGCTTGCTCGAGCGTTGAACCGGGTTCTTAATCCACCATACCCAGTTCGCAAGGCTGGGCGGGGTTGTGAGCAGGCTTTCATTTCATCTTTTCTTATTATTTCTTATTATTTCTGCTTTTCATCTCATTACAAAAATTCTGCGCTTTTTCTCCATCTGCGCATAAAATCTAGACTGACAACCTGCTTGTTAAATCATGCACCTGCTTTCAGGCGTAAAAACCCTGTTGTAGAGGTCTCAGTCCTCATTTGTTAGACTTACCTGTCTTTATAAATGTAACTTACTCCAGTTCCAAAAATTACGCCTCGGCGTTTTCACAGGCTTTTGAGATTAGCTCTCTCCTGAGTCTTTTAAATTGCTTCAAGTTCAAATAGGAAAAATGCCACCCATGGGCTCCGAAAGGGGGAGGAGGATGAAGCCCTAGACACTACGCACGCACCACACGAACACTCTGTGTCCCTGGACGATTCTGCTGCGCCATATGACGATCCGTTGGGTTTGACCTCAAGCCAGCGGAAGCACTCCAGTACACGGCATGACACAGGTGAACATCATACATGTCCGAAATGTCACACCACCATCAAACAAGAACATAACCTTGCACGACATATGCGGACTAACAAATGCAAAACATTGGCTGCATCGCAGGCTGGAGCTGTGTCAGCAGTCTCTGCATCACCACCACACGAGACTCCAATGACTTTAGAGGCAAGTACACCAACCATTACACCATCAGACCGGGAAACAACATGTCCACACTGTTTGAGAAAACTCAAATGGAAACAAAACTTGCCACGACATCTACAGACCTGCCCGGTCTACAAATCACTTTCAACCACCTCAGCCAAAGCAGACGGCAGTAGCGGGGATGGTCGGACGACTTCCATGATTGATTCAATGCACTTCAGCCCATCTGTAGGTCAGACAATGACTCCTGGAGATGAATTGCGAACAATCCCGCACGAATCCACTCCCTGTCATAATGAGTCTTTACTTCATGTCCTGAATCAACGGGACATGGACAAGGTAGAAGTCCGGCAGTCCCTACTGCTACCGTCAGCCAAAAACACCAAGGCATGGCACACAATAAACGCTCAGTTGAAGATCCATCTCACTCAACATTTCCCAACCTCATACCTCAAAAACACTAACATCAAAGAGACTCTGGACAAACTAGAGAACTTCATTCACTGGTTTTTCGACCAGAAACCACCACCACCTCCACCAAAACACAAGAATGCAAATAAAAACCGTGCAGTGGAAAAACTCCGGGCTCACAGGCGTGATTTAAAGCGCCAATTTCGTAAGATCAAAAACCCGGACGAAGTACCTGCAGCGCTCAGAAATGAGTATTTTTCAATTGGAAAACAAATCAAGCGTCTTTTGAAACAACAAAAGATGTACGACGATCGATCCCGGAACAAGAGGGACCAGGATGCCTTTCTCAAGGACCCATATGCCTTCGGAAGGAAATTGTTTCAACCAACCAACCATGTCAAACCCACTTTCTCTGACACTACCTGCTTTGAGTACTTCCAACACACATATGCAGACCAGGATCGTGCCACTTCGTACGAATCCTGCCCCAGTGCAGGGAAGCCCCGGGATTGCACCCACCCAGTCGATGAGGGGACCCCTACATGGACTGAATTTCAGAATGTTTTGAAGAAGTGTCGCAACACCTCTGCACCGGGTCCTGACAAGATACCTTACATAGTTTGGAAGCTTTGTCCCTCCCTTCAATCCATTCTTTTCACCATCTTTGGGCGGGTTTGGGAGAGCAAGATCATTCCAAGGCAGTGGCAGGTAGCGTGTATCACACTCCTGGCCAAGGGGGAGGTGTCTGATGATCCTTCGAAATTCCGACCGATTGCTCTAGCGAACACGTCCGGGAAGATCTTTTTCACCTTAGTTGCAAAGCGCCTCTTGAAACATATGCTAGGCAATAAGTTCTTCGATGGTGACAACCAGAAAGGATTTATGCCTGCAAAGGCTGGGTGCTTAGAGCATACATCACTTTGTTATGAGGCGATGCGTGATG